TTATTTAATTGTAAGTATATTATTTTGGAATATTTTTATATCTTCTTATTTATTATAGAAACTATGAGGAAATATCCACCTGTACCTGTCTTGAATCGCATCTGTACTAAAAATGTAGATCTTCCAACAACGAATATTCACGTGCCAGAAGGTACTTCAATTACTATACCAGTGCTCGGGTTACATCGAGATCCATCAATATATCCAGATCCAGATAAATTTAATCCTGAACGATTCAATGAGGACGTGATAGCAACTAGACATCCTTATGCTTACTTGCCATTTGGGGAAGGACCACGGATGTGCATCGGTGAGGACAATTCTGTTTAATTTACACATCAATATTTCCATTATTTAAGAATTTGTTCCTATCTCTGACATTCCATACAATTTGTATGATAACTTTAGATTTTTTTAAGCTGACAATGATAAATGCAACTTTCATTATTTACATTTTAAAATTTTTAACACATTAATTTTTATAAAAATATTTTATTTATATATGTTATTTTTTATTTATATGTATTTATATGTATATGTATATATACATATGTATATGTACATATACATATGTGTATATATACATATGTATATATACATACAGGATGTTTCAGGACTTCTAAGATAAACTGTAGGAGATAATAGACTTCAACAAAAATATCAACTTTTGTTAAGGAACTTTTGTCCAACGCCTGTTTAAGAAGCTACACGTCCATGTTCGGATTGTCTATGACATATATATAGGCAACTCGCAAACGTATGACAGTGTTGCGCGTGACGTTTGACAATATTAGTTTATATTTTATCTTTTTGCAAAAACTGCAAAATCGAAGATTTAATGTTATATTGTCATAATAAACGCGTAATTCTTTAAAAATATTTCAAGACACAAATTTCTTAACAAAAATTTATTCTTGTGAGATCTATCGCCTAAAGTTTGATCCAAAGATCCACAAGTTTAATTTAAAAAAAGTATACTATATAGGTGCATTATAAATATATTTTTTGAAAATAATAAATAAATATAAATTACACAAATATTATTTAAAATATACACTGGTCCAAAAAATTAAAGGATCACCTGTTCTAGCCTCTAAAAATAGGCAAATTTCAAGATAGAGCAACTTCGTAAAAAATGATCATATCGAGATGTTCAAAAAAGCATTTTACAGCTTGAAATAGATCGGAAGAGCACACGTCTGAACTCCAGTCA